GGCCAACAGAAACAGCGGGCACCCTACAGCCATTATCAGCATCAACCTCAAGAGCACCTTCGATACTCTATGGTGGGCGGTCATCAAGAAAGCCCTGAGAGATGCCACATGCCCAAAAATATTTACAGGAATATCTAAAGAATTATCTGCCCCCGCTTTTGATATCTGGGACTGTTCTAGTTAATGGTGGACGTGGTGCTGTACTGATTAACCAGCATGGTAGAGGCACAGTGCAGACGTCCCCCGTCACTTGTACTTGGGGTGCTCTCCATCAAAAATAAGGAGCGGAACTGAACTAAATCGCACTATCACCTGTAAGGCGCTCAAGGCTGTTGCCAGGCGTAAACGTGCGGTCCTTGCCATGAGGAATTTCGTGTTCTTGGGCTGACTAGAGGTCAGACAAGTGAGCATTAGCAACAAAAACAACAGGCAACTGTTTCCCGACTTCCTTAATTAAAAATCTCTAGCTTCTAATGCATTACATAACTGCCTGCAAATATCAAAAGCTCTTTAGCACATTTCTAACGAAATAAAATGTCATCCATGTAAAAGTCATTTTTTATTATCTCGGAGATACCCGGCAATCTCTATTAGTTTCAAGCATCCCGTTGCCAAAAATGAAGAAGAAGATATACCGTAAGTTGAGTGTTTAATCGATATTCCTATGTTTTTTTCCCGAGCTGTTTCGGACTCCAGCAGTCAAGCGGTAAGGTCTCTTAACACTGATAGTTCAGTCCGAGCCAGGATTCCTCGTCGAACTCGGGCAAACGGACTGGCTGCATGCGCATTTTCGCGGTTTTCCCCAAGTGTAACGTGGATACGAGTCAGTTTTCCTTAGATAGTTCTCCATGAAAGCATTCCTTCCCTCAGGCATATAACCTTCGTGTGCTTTGTTATAATCAAATACACCAAAAGAAACTAAAATCAAGTTGTTTCGCTATACAGTTCTTTGGAAGTTTCTGCCTTTTTCCGAAATAAAAATCTGCTAGTACACTTTGGTGATATCAGTCGTAAATGTTACAGCATGTGTTCTGAAACTTGCAGGCACAGACACTACACCATGCTGGATATTTTGAGCTAAACATAATATAGAATTCAGGAATTTTCCGCTAGCATTTTACACGAAGCATCGAACACCACATGCAATTTTGTTGTACCGCTATCCGGCTTAATTATAGAATGATGTGGAAGGTAACACACATTTTTAGAAAACCCAATTCGTGATTTAACTAGATCTAGTCACTCAAATCTTCACATTCTGCTTTAAATTCTTTATAACCCTTTTCCAAGCTAGGATTTTGCTTAAATTTGCGTTGCATGGCAGATGGACCTGTATCTGTTGCTCCTCTTGTATCTCTTAGTTTTTCAGTGCAATCTCGAAATGGAAGCTTGACAACGAATCTACCTTTAGAGTTGACATGGTAATTTCTTGAAAATACTTTTCAGAATAATCCTCTTCATCTCTTAACCCAGTAACCCTTCGAGCCAATTTTGCAGTTTCCAAAAACCGCTTCAGGGCTCCGTGAATGTTTAGCTCAGGATGAAAGCTATGTAATGAAACAGATGCTTAATTATCATGAGCTGATATTTAAATAATTCCTGCGAGAATCCAGCCGAAATACGTACTTTGAGCTGTTATTGAATCTTTAATTATGTCTGGCAATGAAAGTGAAAAAAATAATCACCGCCAACAATAAGATCAATTAGTTTTTCCTTATCAAACTCAGGACCAGCTAAAGTAATAGAACCTATGAATAGCATAGCATTGAGTTCAATATTGCGTATTGATCGATGGAAGGGGAGAGGTTAACTTATTTAACATTTAAGCCTCAATTACAAAATTCTTCTCAGAATTAAATTTTGGAATTATGGACAGTTTAATTATACCTGTAACAGTACCGGCATGCCTGGGTGCTAAACCCTTCACATAAAATTGAGCATCAGTTCTTCGCAGGGCCAAGCTTTGTGTACAAGACTCTAAAAGGAAACTAGATTCGTACCGCTTCCTCAAAGAATAGAACAACTATGGTGTTTGGCAAACAAGTCGATTACGGGAATGATATTTGTGCGAAGGAATACTTGTGCGAATACTACTTTCAGATTCTTTCCACTAGAATAAAATGCCACATTAGAATTTATATCACCAGAGTCTGAGATCGCAACTGGATCCTCTTCAGCTGTTACCAAAGCTGTCTACTTCATTAAATATTATGCATTTAAATGCAATATTATGCATAAAAGACTGAGTACCATTACAGCATTTACACTTAATTTCTTTATATTTGTAAACTATATTTCTCATTGCATTTGGATTGGAAACAGCTTTAGAAATACTTTGGTGTTTCTCCAAGGTTTCCTTTTACTTTCAAGATTACAAATTTACAATGAAGCATATCTTTTAATCAAAAATCCTCGAAAGCGATCCCATGCATGAAAGTCCTTATTAATTATATTTTGAGACCATATTTTCAGATATTTCATAGTATAAGGGTCAACCTTTTGTAGAAACATAAGTATTAATTACGGCTCTCTTTCCGAAGCGTTTGTATGCTGGGAATCTAAACCGCACATTACTTCGTCAGAAATATCCGCTAACAGCCTTAAGATTAAACGGCTAGCTCGATTTATGGATGGTTGATACAAGAAGGTTTTCAATAACAATATGACTATTTGCTTTTTGACATTATACTGCTTAAACAGCTTATCCCAATCTCCCTCATAAGTATCTTCCGAAACAGTAATGTGTTTAATCGATTTCGCTGAATTTTCAAGAAACAAACCTCTATGATAATAAAAATTCTGAATTTTAAATAGTGATTGATTATTAGGAACTGTTGACACATGAAGAGGATAAATATTTAATCGCGACATCTTTACATCGTTTTTTTTATTAGCGTTTTTACTTCCTTGTACGAAGTAAAAAGGAAGTATTGTAATCGTAAAAAGTTTCAGGCAGCATATTTCAACAAAAATATCCATTTTGACCGCTATCGAATGCAGTTTAACGATGTTTTTGCGTGATATCTGTACGTAAAGACAGAATAAAATACTCTTTTCCTTCAAAAAAAATATAAAACTGCTTTAAAATTAATTCTGACGAGAATTTTTCGTGGCGTCTGTACGAACGTACATACGTTCGTGCGTGCGTACGTACGTATCTCGCATAACTCAGAAACGAGTAGTCTCAGAACGTTGAAATTTTGTATATAGGACTGTTATAACATGTAGATGTGCACCTCGTATTTTGGTTGCAATCGGCCGCACCAAACGTATATAAATATATTTAATATATATCCACTCTATTACCCGGCTCAGTGATCGCAGTTTCTTTACTCTTATATGTTGGTACATTGTACATTTTTTGCTTTAAAAATGATTGTATTATGTTGTTTTATCTTCCGGTTAAGGTTTTTATGCTTTAGTAAATCTGTGTGCAATATTTTTAGAATTATCAACAATTTTTAAAGTGTCTAAGTGTCGCTAAGCCTTTTTTTAATGGCTGCCATTGATATTTACATTTGAAACAGGAGACTAGTGGATTTGTTGCCAATCTAGAGAAACTTAGCTTCACAACAACAAAGATAACGCTTTCATTTACTATTGCCAATTAAATCATGCTTAATTCTTTCTGGAATTTTTTCGAGGAAATAAGTGTTTAAGATTTACTTCGTAATTTTTAATATAGATATTTTGAGTTTTTATGTATTTTTGCCTTCTCGCGAAGTGAGAACTGAATTAAATGAGAAATACTCAATCGTCTGTAAAAACTGTTCTTTTTTTGTTTTGTTTTTAATTTCTTTATACATCATTCTAGCTTTATTATAGTATTTGAATAGAACATGTGGCAACGATTAGATAATTCTATTCTTAAATGATATAAATTTTGTGCAATTATGAGTTATAATATGAACAAAATATATAAGTTAACTGTTATATAATTATTGGATTATACAACAGTTAACTTAGTTTCCGGTATATAATTATTATATAAGTTAACTGTTATATAATTATTAATACTGTTAATGAATCTAGCGCGAGTTTCGCTATGGTAAACAAATACTAGATGAATTTAAAGAATGCATTTATACTAGTGTGGTTATGCGCTGTCGGCGAAGTAGATTTAATTCAATTCAATAAGTTTAATAAATGCAAGAAAAAAAGAAAAATGCGTATAATTTAATATTCCAATTTAATATTCCAATACAAGGAAATCATGTGGTGTACACATCAGATTTTTTTCTATAGGCCTCCTTGTTTTCCTCTCTCTATTACTTATGGGCCATAGTTTTTAATTTTACTTGTCCCATCTTTTCTTTCTGGCCTTTCGAACTCGTGTAAAAATGTACGAAGTTCCTTTTTACTCTCCTCTATAATACAAAATACGCATCCAGAATAATCCAGAAATAAGTTTCAAAAGTAGCTAGTTAGCTGATACATATGTAGAGCATATGGGCAGGAATGTGATATATTAAACATATGAAATCGGATTTAAAAGTAATTTCCCTCCGTTTTTGCAATAAACGCACATTACTCGACTTTTAATGCTATTCAGATATAAAAAATGTACTCAGATATATATGTTCTGCTTTACCACTCAGCAATACTTGAGCGAATTTTGTGGCATGGGCTATGCTTTCACATCATTTTGAGTTTATTAACTTTCTTTAGAATATGGTCACTTTTATCTGGTTGCAATCAATATAACGGAACCAAATTAGCAATCAGATACCATACAAATATTAACACGTTTTAATCCCGCTTTTCCCCATATATTTTCCTTTTCTGCCTAGCGCCTATTCCTCATATGATATTTACATTCGTTGGTATAATGAAATGTTTCCCATATCCTTAAAGGAGCCAAGTTGGCGCAACCAAGGCTGTTCTCCGGAATTTACTCCTATATACTTTTCCTTCGCACCTAAGCTTGAACTTTCGCCCATCAGCGCAAAAAGACTTAGCGCGTGCAAAACCAGACATCTGTCTACTTTGTATGTTTGTCTGCAACGGCTAGCGGCTATTTCAAAATCTGATTTGATTTGTTTTGCTTTTGATATGATGTTTGGAATACATTCAAACCAAATAAAACCTGCTGTGCCATGAACTTGGGAAACTCGTATGCAGTATGCTCTGTATGCAATATTAAATTGTTGAATGACTGAAAAATTTAATTTCGTACATCAAGTCATCATATTGCAAGGTACGTAAACTGTTCACACTTCTAACGTCACTGTGCAAAATATCATTGCTGTAAATTATTTTTTTGTGTAAAGACGTTATGGATGCCAATAACGTTGTAACAGCGTTCCTAGAATCAGCCAACAAATACGCTTTGTCTCAAACGGATGATAATATTAAACATTTACAACGGAATTTGCAAATACTAGTTTGCTTGACAGCTGATAAATCTCATCATAATTTTTTTAAAATTCGTTCTCCCATCGCTTCCCAATGCATAACGCATATTGTAAATGTATTTCTGGATGGTAATACAAAGAGCTGTTTGATATCACGTTCTGTATCTGTGCTTCAAAATTTATCAAAGGATGTTTATTTAAATAGAACTTTGCAGACTACATTTCATCTGCATTCTGCAATATCCATATTTTTGCAAAATTATGGTATTAATGTTAAAGATGCATTAGTTTTACAGTGTTTTCATTTACTCGAAAATGTTACTTATGGTGTTAAAATCGATTACATAGAAAGTCAGTTTGAAAATTTAATTGGTGTCCTTTTAAAATCTTTGGAAGATGAATCATCACAACTCAGGAAAACTTGTATACATATTTTATCAAATGTATGTCGTCAGAATACAAGAGTTCAGAACTATATCTGTAGTATACCTGATATCAAACAAGTGATAAAAAGGCTTGTTACCATGCTTGATAATGAAGAACATAGTATTATATTGTATGCCTTATCAATACTCGCAACTTTGACTCCTCACATTTCTATTGGAAATAAGTTATGGACTGAGGAGCATCTAATGATGACCTTTGATCTTATCATCAAAGTTTTATTTAGTATGGATGAAAAATGTGCCACTGCCGCCTTAGACCTTTTTCTTGACTTAATGGAGGTGCCAAAATATCAGCAATGTTTTATCCAGTCTCTGAAATTCACAAGATGCCTGAAAAAAATTTCTAAGGCTTTATATGCTGATGCCACTCCTCATACCGTTTTATATTTAAAACTTCTTCTTTCTTTAATTAAATTATCTGAGAGTTCGGAAAAATTATTTTCCATTTTGTGTTTTCCTGATACCATTGATGGCAAGTCTGGACGAATTTTAGTAATCCATCCAAAATTGGGCAAATGGTGTGTTGAAAGTAATAATGTGGATCAGACTATGTTGAAAATTTCTTTACAGCTGTTACAATTTATAATTAATTTTTATTTAGACAAGAATTTTGAATGTATTGAAGGTAGTGTGAAAAGTATATTGAAGGATATTTTAGAAAGAATGTGTGTGCCTTTAGTTGGAGATTTTTATTCATTTGAAGAAGAATTACAGACTAAACTTGTGACTTTTGAAATTATGCTTTCACTGTGTCAAAAGACTGATTTCAAAAATTTTATTTCTGAGCATTTAAACATCCATGTTCTTGAAGAAATGGCTGAAATATTACTAAGTAAACAAACCATAGATGATTGTGATTCTCGAGATTTGGGTACAGATCTGTTTCTGGTTATTGTTGAAATTATTTCTTTATTTTCAAATCCAGACTCTAATCAGTTTCTTTGCAGACTTTATAATAATATAAACGTGATGCAATTACTTGCATGTGCATTAACTTCAAACAGTGCTCAACGTATTAATAGAGGCTTATTATTATTATCATTAAGCAATGGTAAATGTCCATTGAATATCCTTAGTGAACGTTTGCTTGTTCGAAATTCAAGTGTTCAGCGCAGTGGTAATCGAAATTCTGATGTAACAGATTCACCCTCCTTTCCAAGTGAAAATTTACAGCCATCTGTAAAGAACTCAAATAATAGTGATAAAGAAAAAGTTTTTGATTCATTAATAAAGAAAATGGAAAAAGGATTTAAGATTAAAGAATTAAAATCATCTGAAATAATGGAAATATATGAATATAAAATTGCTATGTTAACGTTGAGGGAGCAAGAACTGCAGAGCTATGTAGATGCTAAATCTGCATCATTATTAGAAGCTGACAGAGTTATTACTCAGTATAAATGTCGCCAAGCTGATGCAGAAGCAGAAGCTTTGAAATTGAGAAGTATGTTAAAAGACTATGAAAAGCTGAATGAAATATCTGTTGAAAAACTCACACAAATTGAACAAAGGAAAAAAGACCTTGAAACAGAACTAGAAACGGCATTTTATGAAATTAAAGTTTTACAGGCAAATTTGACTGAACAGAAAGAACTAATGGACGTTCAGATGGCTAGAGTATGCGATCAAAAGAGAGTAATTGAAGAAGAAAAAATAAAATTATTTGAACAGATAGCTCTCAAAGATCAAGAAAAAAAATTATTCATAAGTCAACTTCAGCAAGTAAGAGAAGAACTGAAAAGTAAAAATGAAGCATATGAAGATTTAAAAGAATCTCATGAAGACTTACAAAAGTTGTTAGAAGAGTCAAAGAAGTCTTTAGAAAAGCTGAAGCAAAATTCTGAGCAAAAGCAGTCAAGCTTGCAGAAAACCATTGATGCTGCTCAAGAAGCAATTAGTCAACTAGAAGAAAAAAATGAGACCTTAAGAAAGGACATGGTTAAAAAAGAAGAAGACTTTTCTAACAGAATCTTAGATCTAGAAGATGAAAAAGAAAAATTTACTGAAATGATAAAACTAAAAAATGCAAAACTTGAAGATCTAAACGAAGCTGTTAAAAAATTAAACGAATCAATAAATGTTAAAAACATAGCACTACAGGAATTGGAAATTCATTCTGAAAAACTTAGAAGTACATTGAAAGAAACAGATAACCAGAGAGTTAAATTAGAGAATGACATCAAAATTTTGGAAGTACTTTGCAAGCAGTATGAATCATCTTTGGAAGAAAAAGATTCTCGAATCAATGATATGACAAATGAACTAGAATTATTACAAAAAAATTATGAAGATGTAATGCAAGAGAAAGACTCAGAAATTAATGATTTAAAAGCTGAACTTGAAAAGCATAAGCAAATAACAGGAATGATTCATCAGTTAACTAGTGGAAAAATTTGCCCTCCAAAATCTGAAGGAAAGTAATGCCATTTTAATCTTTTTTTTTATATTTTCCTTTTAGTTTAAAAGAACTAATATAGGGACTGCATTTGAAAAATTCTTTTTATTTTTAGAAAAAAAATTGTTATTCTCTTTAAAAGAAAACTACTATGTTGTAATATTTATGTTTTCCTCAAGCACATCAATAAAATTATTTTTTATAAAATATATAAATACATAAAATTATTTTAAATAATGATCAGGATTAAAATTTTTGCTTCTTAAAAAAAGGAACTGTGATTAACAAAATATGAAGTTCAAATATGAAATTTTTTTTTAAATTTAATTTTTAGTTTGATAAAGAAAGAACTGATGATGTAATTTAATATAAATAATAAGATGTCTTAGCTAAAAAAATGGTTAACTGTTTAGAATTTGAGAAATTTCAAAATACTGTTGTATTTATTTATTTGGAAGAATAAATATTTAACACAAGTATCTCAGAGCTTTCAGCTGTAAATTAGGTGATTTTTAGGAAAAAAGTATGAGAATTTTATTTTTTTCTATGAGAATAGCCATTATATTCAGAATTACTTTATCTTCAAAATTAAGCATCTGTTAAGGTCTGTTTTGCAAGACAAACTTACAAAAGTAATCAAAGATTACAAATTTTTAGCACTTTTTAAAGTTTTGTTTTATACTTAAAATTATAGATGATGTAAGTCAAAATATCTTATGTTTACTAAATGTCTAGTATCGAAATAACTACTGATGCAGTAAAAATAATTAACATTTTTCTGTTAAATCCATTACATAACTCTTTATTGCCGAGTCAAGTAAATGCTGTCAAACATGATGCCTATCATTTAGGTTAAAATAACACGTTGAATAATGATTATTGGATAAGTTAAAAAACAAGAATCAGCATAATCTTTGCATATTTTTCAGACTAGTTATGATAGTTTGACCACAAAACCATCTTCTTCAGCTGCCTAAATGCAAATGAACGTCTCTAGTGATATCTATCAGTTTAATTTAATCTTTTCTATCAATTCTTTATTATGTCATTATTCTATTCTAGTTTTTGATCTTATTAGCGTATGTTAAATGCATTAATAAGAAAATTTTTTAATCCTTTATGAATTTTTTTTTTTTTTCCATGAAAAATGGACATCATTTGCTGCAAATACTTATACATTTGCAATTTTGATTGTTGTCCATATATCTTACAAATATTGCAAAGAAATTAATTTTGAAACATTTTGTTTATGATCACTGTTATTGCTTTTTTAATTTAATTCCTACTACTGCTTTAAATTTCTGTTATACTTTGAAAAAAGTATTTTATTTTCAGTTAGCATGTAAAATCCTGTTTTGGCAAAATCTGTAGACATGATTATACCTTGAGAAACTATGTATGAGTGAATGGAGAAGCTGCATTTGTCAGATATTGCCACTGTGCAGATCATATAAACTGCTAGAGAATATTGCCATTCAGCAAAGCATAAGATCTTTAGAGCTTTTGTATTTAATCAAGTCCATAGCAGCCAAATGGTAAAGTCACCAAACACTGGCAGTTCTTGGATAGAGTGGTAGAAGTGGGGATCAAGTCCTGGCAAATGAGCTGGCTACATGGCTGGTTTTCCTGGTCTTTCCGAGGTGTTACGTGGAAACATAGATATGAGCCAGTTTTGCTTAAAACATCCTCCACAATCGCATCCCTCCCTATAGGCAAACAGCCCTCGAGTTGCTTTGCCTTAATCTATTAACCTTTTAACTGTCATGCCCGAGATTATCTCGGGCACAGCACTGGTGTTCGAAAATGTCACGCCCGAGTATTTCTTGGGGTAATTTTTTTTTTTTTTTTGAGTGCATCGTATTGTCATACCCGAATATATATCGGGAGATGTTTATTTCGGCTACATTTGGTTTTTCCAATAAAAAAATTTGACAATTTGTGTATCCAAATTATCAAAATAACTTGACAGTTAAAGGGTTAACTACTATGATCCCCATTTGGAGATTTGTCTTAGTGGAAATTTGGTAACTTTAATTAGGTTGGCGGTTAGAGTAGATTTAAGGGTGCCCCTTGTATTATCGCAAAGTTGTTTCATTTATGGTAATCTGAGTAGTTGAATCTTATGGAAACCCTATTATGACATAATTGGTTGCATGATTGTGGTGAATTTGAATGATGGGAAAAGATTTGTAAGGGCTTGTGGTGTGTGTGTGTTGGTTAGGAAGTGTGTTGCTATTTTGTGGTTTAAATAGTAAAATGGCTGAATGTTGTAAGATTAATTTGAAGTTTCTGTATGATTTAGAACGAAAGGATCAAAGAGCATTAATTGACCGGTGTGTAAATAAAGGTTACTTAGTAGTCATTATAAGGTTCCTGCTTGTTGGAAGGAAATGCGTATGGTCGAACTTTGGAGCATATTTTTTACTCTTTGTGAATTTATGTGGCAATACCAGTATACAGATTCTAATTCAGATAATTTTAGGAAATTTTTGGATGCTGCTAAGAAATTTTGTTTGACTGAAGACAGGGAAACTTCTAAATGAGGTAAGTGGATATTTCCTTTGTGTAGTGCTAAGATGAATTTCCTTTTTTATATTATTTGATTGTTTGATTTAAAATATAGTTTATTGACATTATATATTTTGGTTGGCTGCTCCTTTAACTTTTTAATGCTATATAGGACTTATTAACTGATTTTTTTAATTGCATGGAAGTACTTACCTTCAGATATAAAATTATTTTTAATTCTTTATTTTGTATCATTTAAATTCCAGCAAGTAAACAGATTTTTAATATTTGTCCCTTGAGACATTTATTACAACCTATGTATCTTCAAAATCTGCCATTTAATTGCATTCTTCCTAAATTTTATTTATGGTAATTTGTCTTTTAAAATAATATGTATTTTCTGGAATAATTAATAAGAGGGTGATTGGTTAATACAATCTAACTTGTCATATTTGAGAACTCGTTTATTTTGCATTTTGAGAATATGCTTTTTCTAAAATTTATTGTTAATGAATAGTCTTGATAGAGCTCATTATTATAATGCTAATGCAGGTGGATTCTTTTTAATTGCCTCATGCTCAGGTTGATTCACAGAGTTATTAAAGATTTTCAGATAATGAACAGTACTCAAAGCCATAAGGAAGAAAAGTGTGCTGATTACATTTAGTATGCAATCTCATCTAGAGATTACTCACCAAATACTAATATTTCTGACTGGGACAGCATTTCATAAATCTTATGATGGTTTTCATATACTATACAGTTATTCTGTGGGCTGATCTACCATTCATTAAATGAAACCAAGCTTCATCTGACCACCATGTTATGTTTAACAGTAGTTCGTTATTTTTGTTAAGATGCACATAATATGCCATTCTCCTCTGTGAATCTAACAGCTTTAATTATTTTATGACAGTAGTACAGTAAAATTGCAACTTTGCCACTTTCTGATTGATTGAGTAACACAAACTAGTTTCTTGAGAGTATCTGTGTAAGGATTTCTTTGAGGATTAGTGTAAGTGTTTTACATCCACTACTGTTTGATCTAATATTGGTGATTTGCTGCTTGCATTATAGTATAAGCCAACCTCTGAACTTTTTTATGAGATCTTCAATAGGCTGCTTTGTTGAGGGCTAGAAATATACACTTCTATTGTGAACACCATTCTTTTTCAGGATGATGGATGTTTATTTTCACTCCACATAGTGCTAGTTGATGGCAGCTGTCAGTAGTTACCCTAATAATAACAAGATGTCTTTCATTCCTTTGGCACAAAATTCATACATTAAGACAGAGCTTGGGAACTTTTTTATTATTAAGAACATAATATAAATTCAAAAGTTATAGGGAGCACATAAAAAAACTTTATAATGTTAAATATTTTATTTAAAAAAATGTAATTATGCACTTAAATTATAAATGCAAAACAAACAATGACAAATAGACTGAATATTGCAAACCATCTGCTAATTTGTTATATAATTGTGAGTGTGATTAAAATTATGTATACTCAAACAGTTATCTAAATTAGAATCGATATTTTGTTTTTAGATACAAAATATTTGAAAACGGGTATGTTCCTATTTTCTTAAAACAGGATATTTATTTTTATACACTAAATCACAAAGCATGTTAATGTTATCATTATGATGTGATTTTAAAACAATATTAATTCCGCAGATTTATTTCTAATTCTATTTCATCTGTATTTCTAATCTCAAAAGATTTGCTAAGCAGCATATACATTATCAGAAGACACTTTAAATGGGTTAACAAAAAATATTACAACAGATTCTAATTTTGTAAAATCAGGAAGAAGATTCTCCATAATTTTCATATATGATGTAGCATTAAATGTTTTGTTGACCAAACTACCAGTAATATGTTTCACATTTGGAAAATGCATAAGCAAATTTGTTAGTAAATGTTATTTCAGGAATGCTAATTTAGATCTAAATATGTTTACTACACTAATCATATCAGCAATTTTCTGCTTCTTTCCTTGCAACTTTATATTTAATTCAACTTGGCTGAAATATCAGATAAAAATCACAAATTGATTAATAGTAATAATCACACCCTTGATTAAAGAAATTCTTTTATTTGTGGCAAAAGGTTGATTAAAACTTTTAAGTAATTTACCTAGAGCTGGATTAAGACCTTTACATGGCCTAAACACTTAATACTCCTACACATATTTACAATTTAATGCCTATTATCTGAAAATTCTAGTTTCAATAAATTGCAAATAACAGTAATTAGGTGAGGTATGTTATGACCTAGGCAGTTAAAAGGGGGAAACATGAATGATAATAGAACTGAGAAATGTGATAATGAACATTAACAATACAAAATGAATTATGATGGAAATAAAAGAATAAAAATTAAGTGTCACTTCAAATGATCTTGGATACTGATTTTTAAATGATGTTCAGATCCATATTATCTATTTAAGGAAAAGTAAACAAAGAAAATTGAAATGACTGTTAGTATAATGAGCTAAATTCATGATATACTTATGCCTTTAAATATTTATAAGCAACTATGAAGTAGTTAGAATGGTAGAAAAGCTGTTATCTCGTTTGATTTCTATGCCCAGAAATAGTAATTCACAGTATGACTACATACAAAAACAATTTTCTTTAAAAAGTTGGAAAGAGGTATTAAAAATTTCATATTAAATAATAATAAAAAACATTATCTCAATGATGAGAGAATACATTCCCATTCAGCAATAAATTATTTTCAGATATTTTTACTGATAACTTAAAAATTACATTTTATAAAATATGGTATGTATTTAAGAAAATATTGATATTATTGTAAGACATCACTGAGACTGAGCTGCATTGGTCAGAAATAAATTTTACATTGTTTATTCCATTTTGCTTATATGAACTGATGTCGTCCTAGTAAACTCAGACTATCATCTTCCTGTAATTCAGTATACTAAAGCAAAATTTTGAAATGAAGCAAAATTTGGATGGAAAATTGTGCTTATTTTGATACATTTTGTTAATTTTTATCCCCTCTAAATGCATATTTGATAATTTCCTTTAAAATTATTTCATAACGCACCTGCTTCTGTACTTAGAGGATAATAAAGCTTGCAACTTGCCTTATAGCATAGTTATTCTTTTGCAATTTTTAGTATATAAATATTTGTATACTAAAGTATATTTTAGTATATACATATGCATTGGCCGCAAACACCATCTTATGCCGAGGTGTGTCATATGAATTTTCATTTAAAGACTCTGATGATGGGTGTAGCACATATGAATTTTTAAGTAGAACATTTAACTAGTATTTTATTTTCCTCCGCTAGATGTAGCCTTATGACTATTATAATTAAGGTGACCAATCGTCCTCCTTTAGAAACGACAGTCTTCCTTTGGTAGTCTCTGTCCTTCCCCAAGAAGTGTCCTCCCAACTGTCCTCCTTTTCAATATTTTACAACTAATCTGTTTATCTCTGTATTATTTAAAGATGCCGCGTCGAAATGTTATGCGTCAATCGTCATGTGATGGTGCAGTTCGAAAAAACATGATTATAAAATGCATATACAGCACATTCTGGACATATCAAAACTTCACGCAGCCACACTTGTCTCGTACCCTCACACTTTGAGCCCACTTTACTTTGTTTATTTTAACGTGTCTATAATATTATAGTTTGCGTTTACATCTGACACAAATATAAATTTCTTTCTTTCCCTGTATAATTATTATACTCAGGTAAGTGTTTTACTAAGTAGAATTCACGTTTTATTTGTTCATTAATATAATTTTATTATACAACTCTGTTTTCAACACAAGTATAAAATAATTTAGAAGAGGAAAAACAGTTAGCTGTAATTGAGGGAACATTTTCATTTCATACAATAATTCATAATCAAAGTTCTCGTAGTATGGATTGTACAACGAAATTATTGAAAAAGTTTCACAATCCTAAATTTTCATGTGCCAGAACAAAGTGTGAGGCTATTATTAAATCAGTATTCAAAAATTAATGCGATAATATATTTGCAGAAGACTTGAAAAATGTAGCATTTGTAATGGTTTTATCTGATGCATCAAATCGTATCCAATAGTAGTAAGATATTATAATGTTAACTAGGACATTCATGTAAATGTTTTTAATTTAGAGTCCATTGAAAGTGAAACTGCTGAAATTTTGGCTAACCACCTATACAGAGTAATAAATGAAAACAATTTGAAATATTAAAAATTTGTTGTCCTCCTTTTCATTGTAAAAAAATTGGTCACCTTCACCACATGGAAATCAAACGAGATAACAGCTTTTCTACCATTCTAACTACTTCATAGTTGCCTATAAATATTTAAAGGCATAAGTATATCATGAATTTAGCTCATTATACTAACAGTCATTTCAATTTTCTTTGTTTACTTTTCCTTAAATAGGTAAAAAAATTGGTCACCTTATTTTATAATAGAATTTATTAAGACTGGATAAATTTGGTTCTTTGTGTTGGAATGAAAGGGTTAATTGTGGGGATGAGTGATGTAAATAAACAGAGCTGGCTATTAACTATGTCAGCTGATATAAGCACATGCATGTATTCCCGAGTCATTAGTTTATTTTTGTTTTTGTTTCTGGTGATATGTGGGTAGATGATCTATGGTTTTAAATGTTTTATTCATTTCTCTTAAGAGTCTGGATTAAGATAAATATTTCATTTTTCATGTAGTGAAATACTTTTTATACTTCAAATGGGTATACAAAAACATTATTTAAGAGAACATATGATGAATGAGTCATTTTCTAACAGTAATGATAATAATATTTCTAAATTTGGAAAGTGATAGCTGATAGTTATGGTAATTCTAATACCAACGCACAATCAGATACAGAAATCATAGCATGCATGCTTTCCGAACAGCAACCCAGGAGGCAGATTTTGCTTTAGGACAATTCAAGATTTTGTAGGAGCATCAAATATTAGTAATGGAAGTGCTATCAAAGAATTGATTTTGTTATTGTTATTTAATGATCTTATAAATAAATTGTGAAAGAAACAACTAGTTTTGCACTAAGTCATCTTAGAGTTGCCCTACCTTCTTCAGAGTAGACGGAAATTTTCATACTTGACACCAGAGCAAATGAAAGTTTTTTTTTTTTTTTTTTTTTTTTTTTTTTTTGATGGGACTGATTGGAAAGCCTAATTCACTTTTTGGAATATTGCTTTTTTATTGTTTCTATGCTGGTTTTTTTTTATGAAAGAAATTTTTATTTTTATTAATATCGTAGAAAAATATGCTTTTGTGCTATTTTTCCCACATGTATTTATTTAAGCAAAGTCAGAAATGTTATTGTTCTAGAATTGATTTTATAAAATTTTTAAGAAAAATAATAATGATAAAGTTTTAAACTTAATAGTGATAACTACTTGAGTGTTCCTCTATTGTGTCAAAAATGAGAGCAATTGGACCACAAAATTAATTTCTATGATTTTTTTTTCAAAGTTCAACTTAGCAATAAACTTGCCTATTCTCACAAGACAATGAATGCATTCTGTTAGTGCAGTGCCTCAGATCGATTCGGTGACTGACACATCTGCCAGGAAAGACATTGCATTTTAGCGGACAGTTCCTTAATCCCCAAACTCTCAAATATGTTCCTGTTAAGCCAAGCACTCCAATTATAACGAACAAAAGTATTGGTCCTATAACAGACTTGACTGTTTATGACTTTTAATAATTGCAAATAATGATTTCCTAAATATTTAGCTTTAAATGTTAATGATGTTATGATGGTTATTTTAATTTTCATGAACTCTTGCATCATAAATCTAGTTAACAGAAGATGTTTCTAACAACTTGGTACAGATCTTGTGTCAGGCTTAATTATTTGTAAAAGGAATTATTTGAAACTATTTGTAAAGAAGAGGGTGGTTAAATGATTCTAATAATACTTCTGACTATTGAAATTTATTAATAAGAGTTCATGTGATTTAAAACATACCTCATTTATAATTTTTATAAAAAAATTTTAATGTTATACATTTAGATCTCAATGATTTAGATTGCCATTTTCCCCTCGTTGATGCTTTTATGTAACATTCCTAATATTTCATAATGACATACAGATAAGTTTAACTCATGTGCCAAAAATGTAAATCTATGAGACCTGCACAAAAATGAAGAAAGACCTTTACAAATAAACGAACTGAACTAAAACTCATCTTATGGGGCTAATTACTTGCTCATATTTGTGATGACAATATTTTAATAACAATACTGTATTCTAAACGTAAAAGTTTTATATGCAGTAATATCCTGATTATCCAACATAAGTGAAACTTTGTTAGAGTCGAATGACACAGACTACCAAAATACATCTGCTGAACAAAGGGTATTTAGAATTTCACTCATGTAAATTTGTCCTTGAGTTTAGCAGTACACATATTCGCTCACTGCATTAACATTTTCAGCATTGACCAAACGGAGATAATACACCTTCATTATAAATCATACTTTAGTATTATTTCGAAGTTAAGTTTTTTGAATATAACAAAAGCACACAAGTCTGAGGCTAGGGATAGCTTTGTGGAGAAATTTCTTTGGAAAACTGGTTTATATTCATTGTGCACATGAACAAAACAAACCATGCAGCCAGCCCATTTGCCTGAATTCGAACCCGGTTGAACTACCAGTATATTGAGATCTTAAAGCACTCGACCACTAGTGGGGTCATTACTTTTTGGGTGAATTAATTGCAAATATTTTTATGGCTAACAATTGAAATTTCTTTTTTTAACTATATAGTTTATTTTCTTTTTCCTTATATTTTCCTAAGGAAAACTATTTTCACCTCTGATTCAGTTGGGAAAGTGCACTGGATATATTTGAAACAGCAAGCTTGAGCTCCAACTTGTTTCCCGTAGTTAGCTTCATCAGTCTGCTTAAACTTCTACAAGCAAAGAATATAGACATTTATCACTGTATAGCTCAAATAATGAGCCATTTCATTATTAATAATGAGCCATTTTATTATTCCTTTCAATGCAATACTAAAAATGAAAAATTCATTTTCGTCATATTATGCTCTTTTATTTTAAAAAAGGAAAAAAGTGCTAGTCAAACATCTTGTAAAATTTTTGTTTTGTATGGAAAAAATACTGTTTTTGTTGACATATTTCGAAAGCGGGTTGAAAAGCTTGCAAATTTGAGCCTTGAAGGTGATGCCTACTCTGACTACCACCCTTTGTAAACAATGACCTATCAAGAGAAACAAATAGCTGAAAATCCAAATTATACAATTCTGAAACTATCTGACAAAATAAATACACAGTACATGGTCATTTGAAGAAAACTGGATATGTAAGCTGTTGTGATGTACGTGTGCTGCATAACAGAGCAGTATATGCCTACTTTTGTATGTATACTGTATAATAATGTTATTAAAAGAAAAATCAAGAGGTAAGCCAGAAGAGTCTCTTTTAATAACATCAAGAGGGGGGGCTGCATCCCGAAAAAAGTATTGCTTTGTATATGGTGGGACTACAGAGGAACTGCTGATGCCAAACCAGAGAATAAATTCAGAAAAATACTGTTCCCAAATAGCAGTTTTAAAAGGAGAAATCGAAGCAAAACGTCCAGAACTGACCAATCTTCAAGGTGTTGTCTTCCATCGTAACAATGTTGAGCCATACACTTTGATAAATGTTAGACAAAGACTATTTGAGTATATCTGGGATGTTTTGTCTCACCTTACATATTCATCAAACCTTGCCCTCTCGGATTTTCATCTCTTCAGAAGACTCTGAAATTCTCTAAACGGCCTGGAGTTCACTTCTTTGGAGACTGACAAACAGCTCGTCGATAACTTTTAAAAAATGGAATTTTCGGTCTTCCTGAGAAATGGCAAAATGTGACTGAATAAAATAATACTTATATGATTCAATGAAAGTTTCTTATGCTTTTGTAGTACCTTTCATTTGTAATTATCTTCAAGAAGCCGCATAACTTTTTGGATGACCTAATTTGATGACTGGGCAAAATGTGCCATTCGACATGTTTTGACGAAGTTATAAAGAAGGATCACGGGACATAAATTAGAAAAATAAAAAGAATTTTTGTTATTAGTTACCTTTGTATAAATATACATAATAAGGGTTAAATGGGAGTTTTTTTCCTTTTATAAAGCTGCAGTAGTGTAGGAATAGAATTATCAGCTTACAGAAGTTATTTTACTTTGGTATATAAATATGAAAACTGTCAAAGAATTATAAACTACATAAAAGTATTTTTTAAGTAAGATGTGTTAACAAATATCATTTAAAGTTTTTTGCATGCTTGATACTGAGTGTGGGTGCAGGCTTCCATCATTGGTTGCGAAGAATCCGACACCGCTTATGTTTATGATGTTGGTCTGCATGCTTCGTAACGTGAGATTAAAATTTTGCAGAAAATCGAGTAACCCATTGAGTGCGAAATACATTTACACAGTTCCTAATAGCAATAAACATTAAAAAAAATGCGGATATTAATCCTAGATAAGTGAAGTGTATGATGGCAATGCAATGGGTGCTAACGAATTACAAGGCGGCAGCGTTTTTTTTAAAAGGGTAAGCAAAAACTTATTGTTCACATGAAGAAAAATAGATAATTTATATGTTAATTCAGAAAAAAAAAAAATTATTTTGAAAATTCGTTATTTGTTTTGCTTTTAGTTGCAAAACTAAAAAATAACATTTATATAATAAGAAATTTTAAGGAGTTAAAAATTCCAGTGTGCATTTTTATTATTTAACTTTGCATTGTTATTGGAGATATTACTTTGTGAAAAAAATTACATCACAGCAAGGCTTACAAAATGTTAGGTATTTAGATTATCTAGCTGAGAAATTTTGAGTGGATTTTCTGTGTACTTAATATATAATTCAAAGTTTCATCAATTAACCCATTAACTCATACTCAGTAAAAAAAGTTTATTTGATAGTCGCAAAAACAAATTCACATATTGGTAATGATTAATAGAAACAACAAAATTTTTATTGATTGTTTTTTTAATATTAAAAATATGATGCGTACATTACAATACCCCTAGACCTGTACGCCTTGATTTATTTTTGATGACACTGTAGAAAACTGTTCTTATCCTTTAAACAGAGACAAACATTGCGAACTGCGCATTGCCATTTTGTGCAATGGGGTTCAGCTTAACCACATTGCAAAGATGCTTCTTGTTCACGAATCTCAAACAGAAGGAAACATCTCCGACACATGTGCTGAAGTTTTCACATATCCCCCCAAAAAAAAGATTTATTTATTTATTGTTTTATTTTTATTTTGCTGTAGAAATATTTCATTTATAAGTAGTGATTGTCATTTGTGATAAAGAACGATATATACGAATTTCTAGCTGTCACATCAACAAAATGTCAAAATATACAAAGGCACTAAGTTGAGAAAATAACTTACCAGCCATTGCACAAACCCTATTGAAATTTTATTGCACAAATTTCACAAAAAGCGAGGTTACATGTCACACCAAGAAAATGCCGATATTGATGAAACGCTGCTTTTGATCTTGAAATTCTGCTACATGCCAAAAGATGCTGTCTTACACTATTTATGAAAAGGGTAAGCAAACACTTATTGTTCACATGAAGAAAAATAGATAATTTATATGTTAATTCTGAAATTTCTTGGGCAACCATATATTTTGCCAAATTGCCAAAATATGTGGTTGCCCAAGAAAACTCCAACTTAAATTCTATAAAATTCTGAATAGGTGATTTCAGTGTTAGACCACTGGAAGCGAAAGGTTTAACTTGGATTCATCTTAGGCAAAGTGAAAAAAAAGACAGCAAATATAAATTATTGTGCAAAAAAGAAAGCATAAAAAAGACAGCAAATATAAATTATTGTGAAAAAAGGAAAGCATTTAACTTTTTTTCTTAGTTAAAAAAAAATTACAAAATATCCAAAAATTTACACAGTATAATGAGCGATTTCAAAATGAAGGTTCAATGACCTCAGTACAAATGTTAAATTGATTTAGTAATAATTTATTTACTGACATCTCTCATTGGAAAATTAAACAATGAGATTTCATTGCATTAACTTGCTGTTTAGCAATTTTATACCTAACAAGAAATTTATTGCCAACAGATAGTATTTTCTAATATCTGCTTAAATTTTAAGTTACCTGCAATGAATTAAAACAAATTTAAATAAAAATCTACAGGAAGAGAAAGACTATAACAAGTCAAATAATGAAATAAACAAGAAAGCGAAAAGAATAGGGGGGCTTTCAAATTAGAAATTTAACAAAGGGTTCAAATTTAACATAGTTGAAAGCTTCTTAAAGCTTACCACTCATAGCAAAATGCCTACATAAAGCAACTTATTATGACTCACATATACATGGATGCTCTGTATGGAAGAAAGGGAGAATTCTAGAATATAATGCAATAAAGAAATATAATGATAGGCAAATATGACGACCACTCCTATACAATAACCATCTCTAAATGTTACCTGTATTTCTCAGAACATAAATAAACATTAATATAAAAGTATAATAAACTTAACAATATACAAAATATGATAATACTTTAATCAAACAAACCTAAAAAAATTTACGTCTCTCAACAAACACCGATTGTCAGCTCAAAGTTTAGGAATTACTGAAATACCTTATAGTAATATAATATATATTACCTGATCCTGTATTTCACTTTTTAGTGGTAAATAATCTTCCACGTACTTTATATACTGATTTTATACAAATAAAATCTATAACATAACAGGTATTCATACAATATATGCACTGGTGGACAAAATTAAGAGATGGAACACATTTTCCCAAATATCTGGAGAAATACTGGATAGAAATAAATGAAATTAGATAGGGATCTAACTTATTGTATGAAACAATATGTACAAAATAACAATGAAAATGCCAATCATTAACGGCCAAGAGTGTAATGTTGTTCAAACTTGAAGTTGAAAGAAGGCAGTGGAAATGTGGTTAGTATGGTGTGTGGTCGTCTCTTGCAAACAGAACAGTAGCTATGCTGTTAACAAGAGAGTTCAGGAGTGCCTGTGGCAAATCACACCCACTTCTCCACCAGAGCAGTTTCCAACTCATGAATGGTTCTGAGGGGGGAGTTGTTAGCGTATTGCAATAGTTCTCTCAGAAGCATCCGAAGCATGTTCAATGGGACTAGGGACTAGAGCCACGAGATTTGGCTGGCCAATCCATTCCATGAATATCCTTGCTTTCCAGATAATCATCAACCAGGTGGGCCTATGTGGTCGTGCATTGTTGTCCATAAAAATGAACTCAGGATCAACATCTTCCCTAAAAAGTCACACATAGGGCTCTGGGATCTCCTGCCTCTCCCTTTGGGCATTCACAGAACCAGTGTCAAACACGTGGAGCGGTATTTGGGTATTTTGCATGATCCCTATCCAGACCGTCACTCCTCCACCACCGTAATGGCCCCTTTCCATGATGCTTCTGGGATGGTATCGGGTCCCAGGTCCTCTCTATATCAGTAATCACCGAAAATGAGGTTGTAGACTGTAGAATAATTTGAAAGGAAAAAAGACTAGAGGGCGCGAATGCTCGCATTGTTGTGAATGAATAAAGTTTATTTATGTTGAAGGCGACGATCTAAGAATACGCTCTTTACACATAGTGAATTAAAATATTGTTAAAATTAGTAAACTACTGAACCACCATCATCTGATTTAGAAACGTGCAATATTAAATGGTGCAGCGGCCGAGAATCGAACCCGGCCCGCCCGCGTGCAGGCAAGCATTCTACCACTGAACCACCATGTACTCCGATAATGCTAAGACTTTTAAAAGAGCTGACAAAGAACTAAAACATATTTTCAAAAGTTTGAGTGACTTATCTGTGAAAGAATTTTTTTCTGCTAGAGGCATAAATTGGAAATTTATTATTGAGAGAGGTCCATATTGGGGAGGGTTTTGGGAGCGTATGGTACGAACCATAAAATCCACTTTACGCAAAATTATTGGTTGATCATCCCTTATTGTGAAAGAGCTTGAAACAGTGCTCATTGAAATCGAGGCAATGATTAATTGTAGACAAATTACCTACGTGTTTAGCGATCCCGATGAACCTTCTCCATTAACGCCCTCTCATTTTCTGGTTGGTAGATGATTACCATATCTGCATGCTGATAAAATAACATCAGATAACTTGATTGAATCAAGAAATTAAATTATTAAACTGTATAAATACCATCAAGGTAGTTTAAATCATTTTTGGAAGCGTTGGAGAACGAAGTATCTTTTTAATCTGAGATCTGGCAATATTTGTCCTCCAAACTCGAACTTATCACAGTTTAAAATCAACGATATTGTCTTGATCAACGATAAACATCCCAAAAATCTCTGAACGATAGGTAGAATTTTGGAATAAATGCCAGGCAGGGATGGTAAAATAAGCTCTTGCATAATTAAAACACCTACTGGTACCTTAAAAAGGCCTATATAATTTTTATATAATATGGAACTTAACTAATGTTTGTATTTTTAGGTTTGATTCTCCTGACGCTGATAGGTATCATTTAATGTTTTGTGAAATTTATGTGCTTATAATTATGTACGCATGTTTATTATATTTAACCATTTCTCTAGGATTGATTGTCGAAATATTAATTGAATATTCTAGAATATATTATTGAAAGATGAACTCTCCACCGAGTTCAGGTGGGGAGTGTAGAATAATTTGAAAGGAAAAAAGGCTAGAGGGTGCTGATGCTCGCATTGTTGTGAGTGAATAAAGTTTGATTATGTTGAAGGCGGCGGCTTAAGAATACGCTCTGTACACACAGTGAATTAAAATATTGTTAAAAATTAGTAAACCACTGAACTACCATCATCTGATTTAGAAACGTGCACTATTAAATAGACTGAGTATAGACTCATTCATGAAGAGAAACATTTGCCCACTGAACCTTTGTCCAGTGTTGATGTAGTATGCACCATTGTAAACCGTCTCTTCTGTGGAATG